GCAAAGCTGCACAATAAATTGAACATTAGTGCCTGGGCGTTGATGCGCATAAAAGTTCATTAAATATCGTAAATTTTTTGCCAGCCGCTGCATGGGAAAAAACCCTTAGGGTTTGCAGCCGTGGATTTCAATAAAAGATTCAATCATTAATATGGTACAAAAATCGTAAGTCCCACGGCACTTAAGGAGGTTATGAGCCTCTGTCTTTGTTTCCTGAATCGTAAAACTGAGATTCACGGCTGATTAATAGATTTATCAATCAGATGAAGCTTTTATTGAATACGTCATGGAACCCCGAGGCCATCAAGTGAATCCGGTGATCAACCTTTACGATTTAAATGACATTTCAAGGCGAACTTCCTTCTCATGACAAGGCAGATAAGAGACTTTACGGTCCAATTAGAATGGTCGAAAGTGTTTGACAAGTCGCCATCCCTAGAGTGAAGAGTGTTTGATTACCCACATCGGGCGTGGGTAAAGTGTAGAAACACGGACCATGACAGCACTCGGCGACTCCTTCACATCTACTCTCTAAAGACACTCTCTGCAAGGGCCTGTGAGATGGACTTGAATGACGACTGTAAGCCTTGCGTTGGACTTGTATGTGGACCTGTGAGCCTCGCGTTGGACTTGTATGGGGACATGTACGTTTCTTTCTTGTAAGGGCAAAACATCAAGACAGATTCATTTGTTAGGGAAACACACGAAAAAGTATCGAAAGCGAGCGAGAATCAGCGCACTACAGCTAGTTAGCGTCTTTTGAAGATCATGATTGTAACTTTCGATCGATATTACCGTTGGAAATAAGTAATTAAACGTTTGTTTTATAGCTTGTTACACATCACAATACGATTTTAATTTAACTTGGAGTTTTATCTTGTCTTAACGAAGATTTAAGCTACGCTAACAATAGTTAAGATAATTGCATGTGTCTCGCAGAATATACATACGAGACGAGGAATATTTTTTTGTTAATGAATAGCGACATCCAAGAGTTTGTGGCCTTCTGAACTAAATCTTTACTGCATTTGCACACATCAGTGCATAGATAAATTGATGGCAGCTCGTAGGATTCGACGATTCAGATAAGTAGAGTTAAGCAAGATAGCGAGCGCGATAAAGATTGATGTTACTGGATCAGTTATCACGAAGAAGCAGGCACATTTCTGCGTATAGTTGCCAGCGCTATTATTTGAGTTAACCAAACTGCAAGAGTTGTCAAGTTTCATGACATTGTTGGGCAAAGGTCGAGGCAAGCCTATAAAAATCTAATTCTTAAGAATAACTATTGCAACTATATCACATTTTCTAGCTGTTGTTAAAAGGAAATTTGAATTCACAACGCTCTGTCTTGTATGCATTCAAGGATGTCCTTGTGGTGTAAAAGGTTGACTGTAACAAGATGGATATTGGGAAAATTTGAATAATATATGAAAAAACTACGGGAACTGGATAGATATTGAGTGACCAACCAAGCTTATGACATTATGATTTTTTATTTGAAGTCATCACACTTGGACTGTAACGACTTAATATTATTTCGAAATGGATAGGATTATATCGTGCTTGTTGAGAAGGCTTCTCTTCACATTCACCTCAAAATTTTTAGCAAATTTCAATGAAATATATTACCCCATTTCTTCTTCGGAAGGTCGATGCTTTAAACTCACTTGTGAACTTGACGAGTAGCAACACAAAACACGGATTAGGATCAAAGCTGCAGCAATAACGTTAAATTTCAGATATTTCTTTGATATTTCTTAAAAATCAGGGATAAATATTGTATGTTTTCCTTCTTCGTCGAAAAATTATTTACGTTATGAGTGATCTGACAATGATTACTAATTTGTTTTCCCCGAACTCGGCATCGTAAAACTACACAGTAAATCAGCTCCATAATTACACCACCTGACACAGGCTGCACTGATCGAGGACATTTGCATAAGTGGATCAAATCAAATTTATTAATTAAGTCACTTTACTACGTAGGAAGTTAGATATACTAATATTCACAACCATTTGTCGTTCTATCAAATTTGTATTATTTAGATTTGTTAACTGATTACCTCATGTATGTTTGCAATTATTACAAGTTAACTTCTCATTAGGGATGGGCATATTGGACAAACCCGCTCTTTCCATGCATAGCTTTTTAATAGTTTAACTGAACGAATGAAGCGCACAATTTCCACACATGATATTTGGACGAGAGGTAAAATAGTCTAGTGACAGGAGGAGTCAATAGATGATATTCTCAAGCGTTGATATCACCAGTTTTCCCCAACATTTGTAAATAGTAAAATGGTAATTCTTCAATGCCTCAAAAAGTGCAGCTTGTCTTTAAAGAAATCTCTTAATGTTGAATTTGAAAAGTCGACTCACACTTGAAACGTTGAAATATTCAGTACGTCAAGGGTTACAGGGAAGTGAGACAAGAAGTGACTGAGTAGAAGAAAGTCAAGAAAGCGCGTGATTAGCGCTGACAAGTTGCGGTGCTCCACTTACGACTGCTAATGAGGAGCATCCGCTCAACTCATGCATAGATATGTTCGATCGCACGTCTCAATATTTATTCAAGTTTTACGCATCGCAATTATTCCCATAAGACATTACGGGAATAATACACGTAAGTTGTCCTAGAAATTGTTTCTTAAAATACAAAAACAAAAGTTTCTACGTTTACATGAGCTCGACGCGAGTTAATCAACGTAAGCGACAGTGACGGCAAGAACGGTGCGAGTGACATATGGAAAGCGGGACATCCACGCGCAAAAGTAGCGACATCGCGGAAAAAAGGTGACCTCACCAGCAGGCCAGTGCAATTCGTCGCGACTGCGATAGCTGTGTGCCGTCAAAGCTGTGCGAAACTTTACTTTAAGTGGAGTTGTCAGGGTGGTAAATTCGGCAAGTACTCCAATTGCATTGTCACAAAATAACCAAAAATCACAGTAACAAACCAGCATTTGCTTTCGCCACCTGCAACTCAGTAATCTCTCACTCAACGGCGCTGAAACACTGACCTCTGCATGATGAAAACTTAGTTTAATAGCCAGGACGCTTCAGGTCAAGAAGGCATAATTGCTATGCGCATGGCACAACCTAATAGATACTATACGCATATCATTGTCCATACTGAAATCGCACTTCAATTGATGGGAGAAGGTCAGAATAATCTTATCATTAGCTATGAAAAGATCACTGTTAATTTGTCGTATTCCATTAGAAATGAAACCCATGTGAAGACAACAAAAGCTCGGAAACTCAAGGAAAACAGATATTTGTTGATGAGCTTCTTTGGGTTTTATGTCGTCTCTCGTTGTTTTCATGATTGTCGTCTCTCGTTGTTTTCATGATGCCGAAGCCATTGTCATTGGTGAATAATGGCATGAAGTATCTGGGTCATATAACGCCCTATATTGATTGCGGGTTAGCATTCCATAACGCATGCGTAATTATCGTCTAAGACCAGAGGCCAGAGTATACGTTGCCATGTACGGCAGGAAGCTTTGACCAGCCATCACAGAAATAAGGTTAATTAAAGATTTATTCTGGCTCAGCAGCATTGGCCTTTGTATTAATGTCATAGAGGCACTATATTCTTCCTAATTCATGCAGATATATAACGGTCGAAACAAAACTAATGAAAAATACGGCACTTAGGAAGGTCTACGCGTGCCTCAGAAAATGAACCATGGAACCTTGTTGCAAGTTGAAGCCTCGTCATTAAATTACATAGAACACAACGCGACGACATCGTAAATTTTGTTCAACGGAATTGTGCGTCATTCATGGAATTTTTCAATCTTGAAATTGTTGAGGAATAAAAATGATTTAGGTTGGTTTTATCCAATTTACGCATCCAGACAACTTGCGAAATATGGTTATATAATATCTTGGAATCTCAGTTAGCCCGTCAAATTATTTGTTCGTTTTTTTTTGGAAGTTCGAGAATCTAAAATATGATAAGATTGATACAATTGCGGTATTTCGTTTTACCATGTACATTTATTAAGTATTATTGGAATATAATGCGCTGCCAATTTCATTTGGCCATTAATGTATTAAAATCCTTGAGGATTCGACGGACATAAAATCTTTAATACCATTCAAAATTTAAGACGTAACTGTGAAGTAAATTGTCGTTAGGCACAGCACAATGAGGAAGATGGTAGGTGTTAATGTTAATGAAATTGAAAATTTGCATATTTGTGCCCAATGGAAGCCTTGACGGCCGGAGTGCGTTCAATCAGTTCAATCATGTGATCAGATATGTAGAAACAGGAGGCACGTTTTGTATTAAATTAAACATAAAACCGCTACGTTACTACTGCGACTAATCAAGTTATTTTTCGAAGTTTTTTTAAATTTTGTTATTTTCAGAAATTTAATTCGTTTGAAGCCTCAAATATTGCAACGCTCTCATGTTGTTAGCCTCCAGCAATGTCAGTTAAAGCTTTTAAACGTGTCTCTCTTTTCTGATGAACAAATGATTTTAATTTTGAGGCAGCTGAGGGATTAAATTTATCCCGAGACACGTCGTGTTAGCCTGCCACTTATTAATAATTATTTATCAGACGGCGTAATTAGCAGGCCAAATTATCGGTCATTATATGACACAAAGGAGGCACACAAGCTATACGCCATATATAATCAATCTTACTAAACAACGTTTTAACTTTAAGTCCGGCTTGAATTAGAAAAACAACTTAAAATATTACAGCAATTCAAATTTAAAGTCAACAACTTCGAATAAAATGAGTCAAATGCTTCGAAAATTGCAGGTTGATTCCCAAATATGATGCACTTAGTATACACACTTGTATAATATGACGTACTTGCTAAACACAACTTAAAATTAAAATTTAGAAAAAAGCATCTACATACGAACCAAATCAAATCCAGCCGCTCAGCTTCAAGTTCAGTAGAAGGAAATTCTCTTCTAATTTCATGCCTGGCCAACATTGAAACCTTAAAGACTAGACGAGGATAAATTTACTCACCATTAGATTATTGCAGCACTCAAGTCTGAATTTCACTTCATGCTCGACCACCAGACCAACAAAAGGTAAAGCAAGAGGCTGCGTTCAGAGCTTTAGCAGCTGATGCTCTTCTCAGTCTATTTGCTGCACTGCTGCTCACCACACAAGCGGGTTCAATACATCAATTTTCTCTTATGAAACTCGATGAGTTGTGGTTTTTTCTTCATTCCCAAACACACAGTCACTTTGTTCCTACTGAGAACACAAACTCAAAGGGTAACCGCACTCTTATACGTGATGGTTTTCAAAGGACTCGTGCTTTCGAAGCATCATTCTGGTCTTGGGCTACGATGGATAATAGGACTTCTGCATTCGGGAGATAAAAACTCAAATTCAAGAGGCCCATAAATATTTTAAGTAAATAAAATCTGAAAAGGAAGAATAAATAATGAGATGCGCAGAATGATTGATAATTATATTATTTTCTAAAAATCTCTCTCGTTATTGAAGAGCGATCATGAGTCAAGAGTATGCAAGATCTGACCAATTAATAATCATTTGCGAATAGAGCCTTCAAACACATTTTGTGTCATATATCCTATGATCCTAGTAAAGAATTAACTTAAAGATACCTTTGTTATTAAGGAAAAATAACTAAAAATTGCCAACTGCAATTAAGAGCGAGCCTCGTCTGTTGAACCACTGATGACAAATCCTTTTATAACATAATACTACGAAACACACGCCCATATGAAACTGTATATCTTTAATGCTAAGGATTTTTTCTTACAACAAAATTCTACTAAGATGAAATAATCTCAAAGGAATGCCATCAACATGATTGAAGTTTGAAGACGGTCTGTGCAAATGATGACCTCCCAGACGGCATCGCGGGAAATGCTATCTTCAGGACCTGCAATGCATACCAAGTGGTTATCCACCATGGATGCGCCCCCTCAGCTTCAGCTAAAATATGATAGGAAAAAATCACGGGATTTTCGTTAACAGGCCAATAATCCGGAACAATATTAGTACCTAGTCGGTTAAGACACTTATTATTTATACACATAATACAGAATTACATAATCGTGTAATCGTATTATAGTCAAAAGATCTATACATAAAATAAGCAATATTTCGATCTCCACCGAAAATCTGTAAGAAGTCTGGAACGAACGTGATGATTTCGGGGCTAATTTTCAACGCCGGTGCTCGGGTTCCAGAAGCTGGGCGTTGTAAAGCATTCATTAATTAAATTTCTGAAGTTAAAGAGCATACCACGACGGAGAGAACATGTTGACGGTGCCACGACCAAGACTTGCCTCTCAAATAAATCGCCGCTGCTTCAGCGAAGCGAAGCCTAAGGAATAATATACGTTTAAAAATTACTTTTTAAAGACAACACTTCTAAATAATCCAGTATCTCCAATGTTACAGATGTACAATGCATTTCTCATTTTATTTTCGAATATTAAAAAAATTAAATTTTCAATTTTTTCAATATATAGAAAATTTTGTAAAATGATTTATTCTGTTAATTGATTCATGCATTGCCTCCAACTTCACACAAGTGTACAAATTTTCAGATCAATTAGGCAGGTAAAAGTGTGTCAAATATCAATTATAAGATTTGTAGCTGACAAAATTATTTTTTCAATTTTTTTAACATTGAAAAAATAAAAAATATTTTTTTAATCATTTATTTTGTCATTTGATTCATGCATTGTCTCCAACTTTACGCAAGTGTGCAAGATTTCTATTATAAGATTTGTAGCAGACAGACAGACGGACAAGAAGTGAAGTTATGAGAAGTGTTATAATAATAATAATATACGTTTGAAAATTACTTTTTAAAGACAACACTCCTAAAGAATCCAGTGTTTCCAATGTTACAGATGTACAATGAATTCCAAATTTCATTTTTGAATATTAAAATAAGTCATTTTTAAATTTTTTTTATATATAAAATTTTTTCAAATTATTTATTATGTCAATTGATTCATGCATTGCCTCCAAATTCACAAAAGTGTGCAAAATTTCATATCAATTGGACAGGTAAAAGTGTGTCAAATATCAATTATGAGATTTGTAGCTGACAAAATTATTTTTTCAGTTTTTCTAATATTGGGGAAAAAAACTTTTATTTGTAAAATTATTTATTTTGTCATTTGATTCATGCATTGTTTCCAACTTTACGCAAGTGTGCAAAATTTCAGATCCATAGGATAAGTAATAGTGTGTTAAATTTCGATTACAAGATTTGTAGCAGACAGACAAACAAACAAGAAGTGAAGTTAAAGAAAAGTGTTGTAAAAATAGGACGGGAATGCAACAGCGAACATAAGGCAGGAAAGATTTTGGCGATTTTAATAATATAGAAAAACAAAAGAACTACAAAGTGTTCGGAAAATTGATACTGTACGGAACGAAAGGCTTGACAGTTCATGGAAAGATTAAATGCGAAGAAGAAGCGCGTGAAAGGCTTTCAAACAGAACCTTTTCACATGAGGCACCGACGTAACGGATTTCGCTCATAGTGACAAGGCATTTTTATCAAAATTTGAATTTTACCCTTTGCAACTGTGTGGAAAACAAGTCTAACTGAACTTTTAATGTATTAATTATTGCTGACACTATATAAAAATGCAAGACTTTTTTGTCATAACACAAATATTACAATTTACCTACTCTTAAAAGCCAAACAATAAAAAACAATAATATTTGATATAACAAAAAAAAAAAAAATCTCATAGAATAAACAAATAATAAAAATTTGAAAAAAAAATCAGGATAAAAATTGTCTTTAAAAAATAACTAAATTTCTGTAAAAATAGTTTACCCTTTATATAGTTTTGTCGCAAATGATCAAGTACATTATTCTGCATTACGCCTACGAATATAATTTTATTTCGCTGCTTCGTAATCAAATAAGCAAAAAATAACGCAATATTCAAAGGGATCTCAAGCAGGCATGAAGCAGCATTCCTGCACGCACCAGCATTACTCCTCAATGGCTTCAGTAATCTGAAGGCCGGTCCGCGCATCACGCAAGCACGGTCCGCCTGACATTATAGGCGGTAAACGATGGCCAACCATTAACCATTCTGTGGCCAGCGATAATCAACACTTGATTTTCATCAGGGGCTACACGAGCCCCGACACAATGGCGTGCTTGATTACTGTGAAATATGAATTTCCAGTCCCGATTAACAGGGTATTTTTAAAAGCTTTGGAAGCTATAACTGGGATGGATTCAACCATTATATATTGTTAAAAAATAATAACATTTCAAAGACGATACACAACTTAAATAAAAAGTTGCATTGCTTGATGTGCTACATTGGTATCGTTTATGAGGGATATTGTTTGCTACGAACAGGAAATACTTTCCCCTAGAAGCGAAGGCAGGGAGAGATATCCTCATGAATCACACATGAAAGAAATAAAGAGAAAAATTCACAAGAGGAATTGTTGCAAGTCAATCACGAAATTTTTGAGTGCTTAAATTAAGACATGTGCTTCAACATTTAAATCAGTGCAAGTTTGTGGATAGTCCAGTTGCACACATGCTCCGCCTGAAGAGACGAACCGAAATTCATTAAAAATATATTCAATTACGATTAATTAGAAGTAGACATAATACGCAATCTAGCTTGCATATGCATTATCATACAAACCTGAAACAATAAATGGATATATTCATCCACATTGTGCGCGTACACGCCTGCAAGGGCTTACGCAACGGACGCTTCTTATGCAAATGAGCGCCACTATTTCGTATGCATGATACTCAGCATCTTAACGATGCTATAACGTTCGGATGAATTGAAACTTAAAGGCGATTCTTCGGTGGCCAATCACAAGCAACTAAAAATGCGACCAAGTAATACTGCACTTAATACTTCTTCGTAAAGTATAAAAGTTACACGAAGAAAACTAGTAAGGACATTCCCATCGAACAGTTTAAAAGAAATTGGAAGGAGCGAGAACGCAATTTATTGCACGAGAAATGTGAATCTTTCAAATAAAACTAATTTAAAAGCTATCGGATTCGTCCAGCTTGAAGGATTTTAATGTTACCAGCATGGGACGAGGATAAAAAACTTTTTATATTTGTAATGCTCTCGGTAGATAGAAAAATCTTTACTGAATGTACAAAGAAGCATGGTGTTGGAGGTTGCAAATAAACTATTAATGACGAATCAATCAATGTCCAATATCAAGGCGGGAAATAAAAGAGAAAATGGTTCCTTATGCCGAAACATTTTTCGAGAAGAACTTTTCATGCTATAAATCTGAATGCGGGCGAACTAAACATTGTAAGAATTTTACACGTGAATTTACCAAATATTTATTAAACTGAAAGCTACTAAGGTGATCGAAAAAGGGTGATATAATTAGGTTTATTTGTACATACAACCTTTAGCGCGACCTCCCTATTCAGTGGGAGATTCAAATTTCACCCAAGTCATTACGTAAAGAACACATTTCAGAGATGCTGAATTTATTAAATCGGAATTGTGTTAGGTGAACACAATAAAAATTTGAAAAAAGTGAATTGGTTCGAGCTGCTGCCCGGTGGAAGTCCGCAGAAAATCGGGAGCAATCCCCTGGCCAGCGCAAGCCAGCTGTGGTTGCAGAGAAACTGACGCGCTAGGCTTCGTGCCACCCACCCTGTCAAAATGCCGACTGCCGACTGGCTGCGACAAATGTCTACCCAAATAAATATCTCAGAAACTAGAACAAGCTGAATATTAAAGTCTTAAATATGAGTCCAATCTTAATGAGATAAATTGATCAACCTAGCAGTTGTGTCCTTAAATATAATAATGTCACCTTAAATGGGTAAACTTGTCCAATTTAGATGTAGTTGGAAGACTAGGAGGGTTTTATTATTTGGGTTGAGAGTTATGAAGTGAAGGCAGTTATCCATAATGGATACCCGGCCGGAGCTACAAATTGCCACAACACCCTGAACCTCATCAAATAACGGGCAACCACCCTGCAGCATCCGGTCCACTCCTGAGCTCTCACAGAGACCCGTCCTCCGTGAGAAGATACGCCATTGCCGTGGCCCCCACACCTCTAGGCTGCCACCCCAGACGAGACGCATGCTGGAAGTCGCACTCCATAGTGCAGATGGAGTGGACGAAAAAGTGAAGATGCGGCGTCGTTTACAGTAGTAAAGAATCTGACTGGTGGGCGAGTCTCTGAACCGTACTAGAGGCTTCAGCTTCAATCTTCATGTTGGGATATCAAGAAATGAGGAAGGTTGCCCACACGGAATTGCAAGAAATGTTGGGAATGTAGCCGCTCGAATTAAATCGGGAATAACTCAAACCCCAATTACAATCTTCCAACTGAAATTATCTTGGGAAAGATAAGAATTTTATACAATAATTGTTTCAAAAATATATTTTAATAAATAATCTGACATGAGGAAAAATATTATTATGGAGCTTGCTTAACCTGTGTAACTCGCAAAACTCATTGTACATCTATCAACACAGACTAAATTAATGCGAAGTTTCAAACCATTTAGAGGTTAATTTTAATATCCATACAACTCAAGAGGCACTACGCATTACGAATATTCTATGGTAGTTTTCTTTAAAATTCTTCTTCAACCTGTTTTATCGTTTACGGGCGGTAAAGCAGGCGCAGCGGGCTCAGTTATTCTAGCCATGAAAGTCTCGCTTAACAATCTCAGTGCCACGCAGCAGCTACTTGGATTGACCCTACAAAAGTTGCTACGTATACAAGCTAGGAAGCCAGCGCGCGTCTTATTCAAACGCACAATCAGCATCACTGGGGCATTTCCCATCGATTACAGTCAAAATAATAAACTTGGTTCACTGTGGTAAATCCAATATTTATTACGTTACATTATTTCTTCACTGTTTCACAATTTCACTGTTGCACCAGGATGTTGCAGCAGTGAAGTTAAAAAAAATTTCACACAAATAGTAATTAACTTCTACCACCTGACATGAGTAACCGGAGCAATATTGTCACAAGCTTACTTCCCAAAAAGGATACGTTGTAGTGAGCGAAAAATGACTTGCACTGATGGTTGCCGCCACGTCCGACAACTTTACAATGTTATCCGTTGCTTACAAACGTCCTCAGGTTGCTACAAACAATGGTTTACGTATAATTGTATGTTCCCAACTTCCCGGACAGTGACGTACGGCGGTAGGGGGTTAAGGAAATGTTAAATCATTGTCACTTAATGCTGATCCCTCAGGCATCTAATAAATGAATTCGGAACAGAACTAAATTTTCAATAAACCTTTAAAAAAGTGAAAATTTAATCCTAACACGTTCTCAAATTGACGAGATTTGCCAATCACGCTCAAATGTACCGGTAACTCCACGAAAAAATGTAGGAAAATGCAGCACGTCTAGAATACCATAACGTAAAATTGGATCCAAAATACCTGCTATCGTACATAAACGTCTTAAAAGTGGCACTGATTCTCCGCTAATAAATCTGACGAATGTCCGATTCGTTCGACTGAACACAGGCATGCTCATCTGCATCCCATCAGTTGGCGAAAATTCTTAAGAATGCAGATAAGGTAAAGAAATAAAATAGGGTGCACCCTCAAGATCAGCGACCTTCACAAGAGCTGACTCACGACTGTAAATCAGGCTGCAAACTCTCACTAAGTCATGGGATGCCATCCAATTATCTTCATTAGGCTCGTCACAAGACGCGCTAACTGACGTCAAACACAAAGAACTTGACGCTGGTTCGTCTTGACGTTGAAGAGACAGCGTGACGAATGCAGATCTTCTCCGCATCGGACGTGGATCATGTCGACAGGTTTTTGGATTCACCAATATATCAAAAAAGCCAATCGGTTCAGTTGACGTGTCTTAGTCTGAAATCTGTAAGCATTTTGCGAATTCTCGTATGGTCCATGTTTACAATTTTGAGAGCAAGTAAAAAAAAATATCCCATGTAATTTCGCCCGAAGGTTCTGTTACGCACGGTTCAACAATTCAACCTAAAGACTAAAGAGAAATAAACTTGGATTTCAGATAAAAATATTTTTTTTTAGTCACGGAAATTTGAGTGTTTATCGGCCAGTTTAAGATAATAAGTATTGACAATATATAAAGGCTGTTCGAAATTTTCTCCAAATTGCCTATCGTGAAAGGATATCATCAGGGGATGTTACCTACTCATGTTAGTTTTTATGGAATCAAGTGGCATCGCAAAGCGGAGTGAGGCTGAAATAGTTAATGAAATAGTCTTTACGTATATCTACCATAAACGAAAAAAAAGTTTTTGATAGTCAGTCTTGAATTTTTGTAATTTTTATTTGAGAATTCTTGAGATAGCGGTGTAGGCAAATGTTCTTAGCCAGTTGAAAATTTTCATTTAGCCCTTGCAACAAAAGGATCACCTACTGATCCGTATTAATAAAATGTCACAATACATAGCGGAGGTTGCTGAAAAAAAATTAACACGAGGCAAGGAAATTAATTCAATATTACAACTATGATAAGTATACGGCAAACAATGTTTGAATAACATAAAGTATCTCGTGCAATCGATATTCTTCATTCGGGTACCTGACTGGCCACTTGGTACGTGGCCTGAGCATCGAATTCCCCCTCATTGGGTGGTCGGTCGGCCGCTAGTCGTTAATCCAGACACCCACCGCAGCGGGTGTTCCACCATTCAAAGCAGGTTCAGAGCCCACATGAAAAAACAAGTACGGAATCCAGGGTCAGCAGAACTAACACCTTCGCCTAAAATACCTACATAAAAGCGTCAATTTAATCCGCGTCACACATGCAGTGGTCAGATCGAGTTCAGTTCAAAGACTCGAAGGTCTCGTTGAACAACGTGACCTTCGCCTATTTGGCGCTCGACTAGATTCGAGCCCTAAAATTTGATCCATGCATATAAGCAACTCGTCGTCATCACTTACTGCTACAATCAATAAGGAACGCCAGACAAGGTTTGCCAAACACAGTTAAGAAAATAATTCTGAACAAATAAGCAAGGCTCAGGGCTAAATGCTGATGTAATGCAGATGCTTTGCGTGTTTCCTGGTTAAAAATATTCTTGGATAATATGAGCCGAGCATTTAAGCGGCGCCTGACCATGCGGTATGTACGCCGAACAGAACTAAGATGCAACTGGAAAATGCCCTGCGTTTATCTTTATCATGGCTCACGATTTGGCGGTAAGACGAGTGAAGGTCAGTCAGTAATTGATAGCATATCGGTTACGCATGATTGATAGTAAATTAATGAATTATTTTTACGCGTAAATTTAGGTATTACAGCTCCCATAACGAAGGAGCTTCCGAAAAAAATAGCAATAAATTTACGAGAGCCTGATTTTTAGACATGCATTTACGCGAATAGAACTGTTGCGTGCCGCGGGATATCAGACGGCTTATTAGACTATTCTATACTTTATCACAAAGCTAGAATATTTAATTTGACATAACCATCATCACCAGACATAGCGCCTTTGAATGAAGCAATAATGCCTTGGGTTCAATCTTCCATGTCCGCGGGCAATTCAGAAGCAAGGAATGTCGACGCTGGCAGGAAATTCCTGACTACAGCATGGCACTCGGAAGCTGTTGCTCAACTGTTTTGAAATAACACCTCCAGGCGCATGCCGCCGCCACTTCGTCTTAAAACTTGACTTACCGCTCAAAAAACTTGCAGTACGATTCATTTTTGCTCATAGTCAGACTATATTTGAAGAAAATTTGATTTAACTGCTGATCCGCCCTCTGAAAATTGAGCTCGAAATAAGAATGAGATGGCTACAGTTTACTCGAAACAACTGCGCCGCTGAGGTGACACATTGAGAAATAATCTCGGTATACGTTGAGTATACAAATAATTATACTAACAGCATTATTATAAAAAATAAATAAAGTTCTAACTCGACTCTGGAAGGAACAACAGAAGTCGAACTCACGCAGATAAAATTAATGTTTGTATCTCCAAACCCAAGGTTGACGTCAACTATCCATTAACTGTCATTGCTGCACAATCAGGTCGCATACATTAAGAATTAACATTGCATCACGTAAATTAAATACTGACTGTATGTTTGGTCTATCACTTCATTACAAGACTAAACAAACGTATAATAAAAATACGTACAGAAACTATGCCTATAAATCCAAGGTTGGCCAATGAATTCCGGTCTAGGTTGTCAAACAACACCTCGGTGAAGAAGACGCCGATTGTCGAGTTAGGACTCGGCAATATAAATTCCTGATGGTCACGGTACGATCACGGCCTGAAGTCCTCTCTACCTAAATGCAAGGACGATAAAAGCCTCAATATTTTCAGTGAGTTGGGAAAACCATAATAAATGGACGTTACGGTGACACCTACAAGTGAAGACGATCTAAGAAAATTGTTAAGCAACTTACGTGTCTATAAACATATTGTCACTCAATTTATTAAATTAGGAAATTATTTGGCCCTAAATGAATGGTTAAAAATGTTGTAATTAACCCTAGTATTATTTGTAACACTCATGCTATCATGAAAGTGGTTTTTCACGCTAAAAGCAAAGATGAGGATCTGTTAAGCGCGGTGTTCGATACCCCCCGCGAATGGCAAGTTGGCAACCCAGTGAGTCGCAAGCTTCGACCGCAGACTACCTCCTACCGACACGTTCAAGTCTGGACTGACCGCTTGCCTGTTGCCTGACTTGCCTCCCACCTGCCTAGTGCGCTCGCTCAGAGCTAACTAGCCAACATCGCTACGAACGGCCTGCAACACCTCTGGTGCCACTATGTTCAGATCATTCAAACTACCGGAATAATACTCAGAGATTGACATATTAGCTCAAACTTAGGCAACAAAACTTCCCAATTATATGCTGAATGACTCGAGATGATGGGCGTGAGGTAGCAACCTTATTAGCCACTAGTTTCAATTTTAAACTAAACAAATTTAATAATTCAAACAAAGGATTAATAAATACAAAAATAGGCTGAGAAATATATTTACAATTCTTATACGCAATCAAAATTAAGCGAGATTGATATTTTTATAAGTACCAGACCCAGAAACACCACGGGAAGGACACCACAATTAATTTATAAATTTTTACCTATCTACGTAGGGACAACCGAATATGAAACTGATGGACCGTACGTAATTTATACAAGAGCTTTGAAGCACAAGGGCGATGAACTTTAATGAAGAAACAAATGTGAACGAACAAACTTACAACGAACGGTGCAGCTCTTGTCTCACTCAGAAAGCTTAGCAGTGCGACACAAGTCAATCTATGCGAAGAATCTACACAGCACTTCTTACGCTCTAATTGGTGCCACTGCCACTGCCACCGAACGGAAGGTGGCTCCTAGCATACCAAACTCAAGAACTACCAGCCTGTGACTTACTATTTCTTACCATAAAGTAGATTTAAAGTTGCTATAGTTAGCACGTATCATGCAGTGTAAAATATATACATTGTGTAAACTTAGATTTTATTATCGGAGCCGAATGTAGAATCTGAAGCAACACGTTTTTTTCGAGGTACTCAAATGATGGAGCTACTGCGACGGGGAAACCAAACAATGGGTAGAAGAATTGAGAAGTCAGTTATATTCCTTACTTCTTGCATCGGAGTCGGTTGCCAGATGTTTACTCGTATTAATATGGAGAGAGGAAATTCTAGTACCTAGTTGTAATGGATTGGTGTTCATCACAACAATAATTAAATGATAGATCTATGAGACAACCGGCCTACTTCGATGCATGACACCAAATATAGGATAATCTCACACGCTACCAGCAGGAACAACGGGTTTAAGCCCCAAGAACGTGGTTAAACTTTCACATCAGTAGTCACGAGATGCCTATTGTATATAAATAAAAGCATTTACCGTTTCTGATCTGACGAAAAATAAACAAAAGCGATCCGAATTGTCAGGTACTTCATTAAATTGACGATTGTTTACATAAACAAACTTTACAACGCGAATAAATGACGGAAATTCGATGATTGAATGTAGATTATCCATAAAAACGAACTAATCTCACCGACTTAATCATTAGTAAATTTAGTCAGAGCTCTTTCCATGCATCGAGACCATTATTTTATAAGCAACTTATCAGCAACACACTTCGAATGCCTGCCGAAAAATTGAATTTAAATTAGACCCTCTCATCGTAACGATGACAAAGTAACAAGTTCTTCTAGCTGATCATATCCACGGATCAAACTCAACTAAAAATTTCAAATGAAATGAGGTCCCGAGAACATCAAAAAGGCGAAAACCATCAAACGGTGATCTCCAATAGCGAATGATGACCTGGAGTCGTTACCAAGAGATTCTCCCATACGCGTCGTTCACTCGACACGATGATCATCGTCTTCAGCATCGCTGTCATTTTCGTCGCTGTCGTCAGCATATTTAATTCTGCGTCTACGGCCGCCTCGACCACCTGAAGACTTGGCGCCACGACGCTTCTTCGAGGAGACGCGCTCGTCCGATGAGTCTGGCTCATCAGCAGCCCCGTCGCCAGGTAGCGCTGATGGCAGAATAATTCAAACAATCCATTAATACTGGTACTTGCCGACATCAAAAATAATGTTATTTAACTTATCTAGGAGTATTTTCATCAATTTCTGTACCTACATTTCACTTCAAAGTATTAGGCATTAATTTCGACCTAGATACTATACTATGGGAAGCTGTCCGTTCTTTCAACACCCGACATTACTGCAATTAGAGGTTAGTAACTTTCCTCGTTAAAGACATTCACCAGCCAGTTTTGAAATATTTAGCGTTCTCCCAAATAGTTATAACAAAGTTAATTAAATGCAACATTTAAATTTAACAACGAAATTTAAATAAATAAAGATTTTGATATGATTATAAATATTCAGTCTAGGTATTGTTAAAGGCCGAGGTGTTGGTGTACCTAAATAACGATTCAAGACTCACATTCTTCAGAGGGCGGAGGGGCAGCTTCCATTTCTTGCTCAATTTTTTGCCTGGCGTTGGTGAAGACGCTTTGCAACACAACGGAGTCATCATAAATGATGGAGTTTTCTTCATTGTACTCCTGGGCATTGCGGCATAAAAGCATGAAATCGTCCTCCAAGTCTCGCATACTCTCGTACCTGGCGTCGTCAATCCGGGTGAGGATTTTTTGTATATCCATAGGACGCTTGATCACTTCGTAGTAATCTGCGAGGGTTCGGCGCGATGGCAGCTTCACGAACGGGTCACTCAGAACCCGACCATCGGCATTTGCGTACTTAATAACGATGTCCATGACTTTCTTGAGATACTTGACGAGGTGTAAATTTTTAGGGTTAGGTTTCTCCCTAGCAGGCCGGCCTCTTTTCTTGGGTTTTGAAGGCTCGTCGTCGTCATTATCTTCGCGCTTGCGGCGACGACTTTTACTTGATGATGATGAGCCACGATTGCTCCTGCTGCCTCCACTGCCACTTCCAGCTCCGACACCGCCGATTCCACCATCACTACCACCACCACCAGATCTGCCATGGTTACTCATATCTTCTTCGTCGTCCTCTTCCATGTTAGCGCCAATTGCGCGCAGCCACTCTTTTTCCGTGAGACTTTCAGTGTAGTCAACTTCTTTCTTGCTTCGGGCTCTTCGGTCGCCCAGCTCCTCTTCGGCTCCCTCCTCCTCATCTTCGTCCGTCTCTTCTTCTTTTAACATCCATTCAGGTAATTCAGTCTCACTCATGAGGCGTGGCTCCGTTTCCTGTGCACGTCGTTGAGCATCCATTTCTTGGAACTGCTCGAACTCTTCTTCATTTCTCGCCAACATTTGATTCACGGTCTCATCGTCTGGAACTTCGTTCTCTTCCTCGTCCTCCTCATCATTAGACAGGATAGCCTGCAAGAACTGACGACGGTCAGACCCTGTACTCTTTTGATCGAACATGCCAGCTTGGATGACTTTCTCGTCCATGTTGAGCTTGTAGCGAGCAGCTGCCAGAATACGCTCCTCGACGGTGTTCACGGACATCAGACGCAGTACACGTACCTATAAAAAAAATTAGAATACTTTTTTTCATTTCCTATATGCATTCGTCGTTCCATTCAAACAAAATGGTCACTGAGTGAACGCGAGTCTTTTTGGTTTCTTGATATCTTAAAACTCTTGAAGCGAGACACTACTTGATGGTGTAGTTTTGGACGGCCTAATCTTAGCAAACTTATTCACTTCCAGACAGCAGAATTTACAGACACAATCGATTCTCAAGAAAGTAATGAGATAAAGTTAGAAAACACATTGAATGTAACGAAACAAATCTACTTCATGCGATGACTGCTAAGAAAAACATATGTTATCACATTGCAAGAAAATTCGCTAAAACAAGAATCGAGACTATTAGCGCTATTATTCAGCAGTTAATTACATAACTAAATTATACTACTCCAATTTGAAGTGCAAGCATCTAACCTCGTTTTTCTGCCCAATTCTGTGGGCTCTGTCTTGAGCCTGCAGATCCTGATGAGGATTCCAGTCAGAATCGAAGATTATGACGGTATCGGCAGACTGTAAGTTCAGACCAAGTCCGCCGGCGCGCGTCGACAGCAAGAACAGGAAATAATCTGAGTTCTTATCATTGAAAAGCTGCAGCAACTCCCCGCGGTCGTCAGCTTTCGTCATGCCTGCAGAAAATAATAATTTTTTGTTTTAAAGTCTTTTGAAAATCAAGCAAGATGTTACGCTCTTGGTTACAAATGGCAAATTAGATAACTCGAAAAGAAGTAAAATATGAATGATCTATCAAGCAGGAACATGGATATGTTGTAGGAAAACGCGTCTCACCATCAAGACGTAGGTACTTGTAGCCACGGAAGTTGAGGTAATCTTCCATGATGGTCATGAGTTGTGTCATTTGGCAGAAGAGAAGAATTCTATGCTTGGTGGCCTTCATCTTGGGCAAAATGCGGTCCATGAGCTCAAACTTTCCAGAGGCTCGGTACAAGTCTTGGCCTTGGACGATGCCACCCACAAAACCTTTGTGTTGACTGAAAGATTCTTCAATGTGCCGGAACATAAACGGATGGTTGCAGAGTTTCCTTAGTTGCATGATAGTGTTCATGAGAGCCTTAGTGTTGCTCTTGCTGCCCTTCTTAGAATCCTGGCACAGCATGACTCCCTTGCTCTGCATGGAACGGTAGAGCACTTGCTGCAGGCCAGAAAGCTCGCACTTGACGATGTACTCCACTTTGTCAGGCAACTGAGACTCTACTTCCTTCTTCAGGCGGCGCAAAAGGAAAGGACGTAGCACTTTATGTAGACGACGGATAATCAAAATGGTTTCTTCTTCGTTCAGCTCGACCTTTTCACCAGTGGTGGCAAAAGGAGCATTAAACCACTGCTCGAAAGTAGAGCATGATTTGAAAATAGATGGCAGGAGGAAATTGAGCAAAGCCCAAAGTTCAGGAAGCTTGTTTTGAAGAGGAGTACCCGTTAATAGGAGGCGATGAGGCGCGTTATAGTAAGTGTTGAGGGTCTGGGTCAGCTTGCAGTGATGGTTCTTCATCCTGTGTCCCTCGTCGATGATCATGTACTTCCAGCGGAACTTGGCTAACACAGCCTTGTCTTTGATGACGTACTCGTAGGTGGTGAGCAAAACGTTCAGCTTTGTGGACTTCATCTGACTCTGTACGACGCGTCGCACTGACGGGGAACCTTTGTAAGGTACCACCTATCGATAACAAAAGAATGTTAAAAAAGATTAATTATTTTGTCCTAAACTTCGTAGATTTTCCTATAAATTTTATTGCAAACGTATAATTATTGATTAAAAAATTCGGAGGCTAGACGAACGAATTCGGATGAACCTAGTTAAAAAAAAAATACAACTCGGTACTCACAGCAGTGAGTGACAGAGAGCGCATTTTCTCGTCGACGAAAACTTGAGGTCACGGACAGACGGACGGACAGACGGACATGGCGAGCACAATAGTGCATTTTTTCCATAGATGAGAAAATGCGCTAATAAGTGCAGATTCAAAGTAAACTAAAGAAGGATTTAATTGGAAATTGGCCATGAACGTAACAGGTTCATGAAAATTCGGTCATCCTTAAACAAACAAAAAAGTTCATGTATTTTCCTGGCCGAGATCAAAGTGAAATTTACTTACGTTTACTGAAGGTGCCCATTTGTTGAACTCGAGAGCCCAATTGGACATGGTTGAGAGAGGTACAATAATCAGATATGGTCCATTATTTTTCTTGGTCTCGATGAGGTAAGTAAGCAGAGCGATCGTCTGGATAGTCTTGCCAAGACCCATCTCGTCCGCCAGAATGCCATTGAGGTTATTGTTGTACAGAGACACCAGCCATTCAAGACCCTGTTAAATCGAAAAAATTTGTACTCTTGGAAATTTCATTATGTCGCTCCGACCAGTGATAGCAAAGTTGTGGTAACATGGATACACAAATACTCTTTTTCAAAATTGCGCCAGTCTAATGCACGCACCAATGACATCATACATAATCGTGAACGGATAACAAAGGAATGCTCTGTCAATCAACTTATAATAAATTAGCAATGGATAACATGGGTAAATAAGTATAAGAAACTGACTATGAGGAACGTTAATATGACAAATTTTGAGGCTTGCACTATCAGACTAGCCTTGATTTGGTACTCCTTAAGGCTGCCATTGACAAGCATGGTGGGTTGTTCCTTTATCTCCTCCTTGATGGTGTGAGCGATGCTGTAGTAGTTCGCTTCGCCTCCCGCGTTGCGATACTCGTCATCTTCAACCTTGGGTTTAAGCTTCTTGACTGCAGATGCAGCAGCTGCTCCCTCCTCACCCTCTTTCTCGGTGCCTTCTTCAGTTTCTGGAGCAATAAATTAAGTTTATAATTAAACTGCAGTTTTCCGCTGAAATAACGATATTCTTTAGTTTACTAATAGCAACATGCTTGTGTTGGTCACTGGCGAGTCCTATAATGACGCTGGTCGTCATACGTCAGGCCGACATAATTTAAAATGAAAATAATTTTAGATGCAATGAATAAAACTTATAGTATGAATGATCACGTAATTTGCTACAGAATAAGGGCGCAAAATTCCGAAGCTTTAATAAGACGAGAAGAAAATGAGAAAGGTACATCTCATGAATGACGTCAGTGAATTTAAACTATCGTCCATGCACATAACCTCGACACATCACTTACGCTATCGGACTTCAATAGAAACAGTTCATTTTATATAAAAACTTACATATTACAACACTCAAAACAGCTTTGTAGCCATAATTTGATAATCGAATCTTAAAAATCATGTTTCTGACCCTTATATGGTATTTGGTGATGAGCGGCGAGGTAAATGCCGTATTTTTTGAGGAGCAATTTTTGTTTCATTGACGGTAGCACATTTTCTCCTTCCTGCGTAAACCCGTACACAGAAAACTCTTCCACATCCGCCAAGCCGGGACAACAACACAATTAAAATGAATATACCTACCTTTCTCTTCATCACTCTGGTCATCTTCATCATCAGGTAGGACCTCCCAGCCAGGGTTCTCCAGGAGGAACTGTTCGAGGTGCTGGGGGGCTGGTGCCTCGGCCCCCATCAGGATGCGGCCCGTCGAGCTCTCCATGATGCACACGAAGGGTACCTGTCCGCCCTCGCCGCCCGCACTCTCAGCGGCCTCTCGAGCGCGCCGACGCTCTTCGCGCTGTCAAAAACGTAAAACCATCAAGTATATAAATAAGGAATAAAAACTAATCATCAAAGTTTCCAAATAATAGACTTAAAAATTAACTTAATGCATACTTTTTTCCTATTTCATACTAGGGCAACATGCTGAAATACAAATTCTTGGTAAGTAACATGAGTCAGAAAAAAAGAAGTCTCAAATAATGTGTTTGTCAAGTGAAGCGAGAAATTCATCGCCAAAAAAAAAAAAAAAACTGTAAATCATCATGCAATACAAAGGAAGTCTGGATTATAAACTGACCACTTTCCTGAGAAACTCTCTGTTCTGTCGCTTCTGCTCGTCTTTGTGTTGCTTAACCATCTCAGTGAGGCTTGCAATGAACTCGTCGGTTTGTGAGAGCAGGTAAGCAAGGCGCTTGTCTTTCTTCTCATCAATGAGCTTCCTGTATCCCTCCTCATCCTCGAGCATGAGACGCCGTAGACGCTCCTTCTCAATGCGCTCCTGTTCCTTCTGCTTCTCGCGCTCGGCGTTCTGGTGGTACGTCACGACCGCCTTGTTTATCTTGCCTATCTTCTGGGTGTTCTGACGATGGAACTCCCTGCCACAAAATAGCGGTAATGCTTTAAAGTGGTAACTGATACCGAGTTGAGAGTCTACGTATAAATGAGAGTCTGTGCATAATTTTATCGTAAAAATTGAATCTGTAATTACATTATCAAAGTCAAATATATTTGTGCTTTGATAATTAAAAAGCAAATAAAAGCCAAAAATATTTGTGCTCATGGAGGAAAATAACTGAGAAAAATACTCCAATCACGTAAGTTAGTGAATTCAGATTTCCGTTTCTCAAAGAAATTTTCTCCATTTTGTAACATAAATCCACAGGAGATTTGATCAAAAGCATTTTTACATTTTTATTTGCTATCATCCACAGAACAAGAAAAATTACAATTGACCCTAGGGAAATAACATAATAATTATATAGAGAATAAGGAAAAAAAAGTCTCACTTGAGCTCCCTGCCGTGCTGCAGGACGGCATTGAGATATTCCTGATGTTTTTGTCTCTTCTTTCTTTCAGCTTCAAGTTTCTGTTGCTTCTCAAGCTTCTCTGTAATGCGGGCCTCACGCAGGCCTTGACGCTTGGTGCGCTTGTAGGCCTTCATGTTGATGGCAGTCTCCAGGGTCGTGTCCGCACGATTACACGCCACCACCTCATAACACAAACCATAGAGTTAGGCTCACAAAATATTACACTAATATACATCTGGAAAATACATTGAACATATTACAATTACATGGAAATATGAAGCAAGATTCAAATTATTAGACCGTCAATGCAGACCAAATGCTAACAACAGCATGAATTGATTTCATAACAAAACCTTATAACTGCTTTAAAATAACCACATCACGTACGTAAAACAGAAACTTAAACTCTCAAAACCGTGCCGTTGTGCTGATTTATATAATCATACCAAAGAAGATTATAACAACAGCAAATAACGTCATCGTAACAGGAAAAATACACATAAAAATATTTCATAAACATAAGTATATATAAATAAATGTAAAAAAATTTCGTGTACACAGAACATTAGTTTCTGTTTGGTCTCAACATTGAAGGACACTAATAGAGCGAGACTCTAATTGATGATTCTTTAGAAAAGAGCAGCAAAGGTAAGAGAGTTCTCAAGGCTTTTCATATTAAATCACATAAATCATTTCATATCATAATAAACTAATAATTCCATATCGCTGCGTCTTGATAAGACTTTAATGGGTAATTTTTCAAAGAAAGCAATTATTATCAGAGATGTTGTCATACCTCAGCACGTAGTTGCCGCTGGAAGTTGAGCAGCCTAAGAGCCCTGAGCTCAAGCTCGGCCTTCAGCTGCAGCTCCTCTGGGAGGGAGTTTGGCAGGTTGCTGAGATCTTCCATCCGTTGTGCGATGCGGGCACCAAGCCTGTTTGTACATTATAAGAAATTAAAATAAAATTTTGAGGAGTATTGTCTATTGTGGAAGACCTAGGCTGATGTCATAAAATATCGGTTTTAAGAAGTCAAGTAGGAAATTTAAGCTGGACGGAAGAGTCAATAAAAATATGTAATCAGTCTAACCTGTTCTCGCGCTCTTGCAACAGCAATAGAGGATCAATTCCTGCAGGCTTGGCAATGGGTGTGACTCTACTGGTCTTGCTGGATGGTGGGCCTCCAGGGCCAACTCCCTGAAAGAAAGTGTTACATTACTGCGAGATGTTCCAACAAATCTTTGGCAGTGTGCCATGAACTGAAGTTGCAGTGTAAATATTGTTTACTATATTATCAAATGAAAAACTGACTGACTGAAAAAGGACTGACCATCTTAATTGATAATACAAAACAATAGTTCCTCACGGGCGGTCGCTGCGCAGCAGGTGATGGAGTGGGTACAGCCACGGTCGAGGTCGCAGAAGGTGGAGCAGGAGCTCCACTTGCAGGTGGAGCAGAAGTGGTGGCTGGAGTAGGAGGCCCCACAACAGGAGACCCTGAAGTGGGCGATGTTGTTGGTGGGGTCTGAGGAACAGGGGATGCTGTGGGTGGTGGCTGAGGAGGCATACTGCCATTGAATGGAGGTCTCATGGCACCGGGTTGTGAAGGCTGTGTCTGTATTGGAGGAGGGGTTTGTTGAGACATTCCTGAAAGAGGAAGGCGTGGATGTCCTCCAGGAGGCATGCTTCCTCCTGCAGGAGCAGGAGGTGTGCTGGTAGGCAGGCCCATTGGTGAACCACTGCCAGGAGCAGGTGAAGGAATGCCAGGAGCTCGAGGAGGCACGTCATTACTTTCAGGTCGACGCCCCTGCGCCACTAGAGCAACCTGGCTGGGGACTGGTTGAGACCGAGCCAAAAACCTGAAAATAAGTGCAGACTCCTACAGTTAAGAGGAATTTTTTTGGGGGGATGAAAATTGAAGTTCAAGTTACAACAGCTAGCATAACATCAAGGCCAATCAGATTGACTGTCATTGTGCTAATGGAACTGAACATGACACCAAGAATATAGGATTGAAGTCCATATAAACACACCTGTAAGCCATTATCTGAGCTCTTAGTTGATGCATTTGTACTCCAGTGACAGGTCCTGAAGCCATTGGTGCTCCCCTGCCATCTCCTGAAGGTGGATATCCTGACCCTGCAGCTCCATACTTGGCACGCATTGAGAGGAGATCACTGTAACGTGGATCTCCTTGCATGCCTTTGTCCTCCATGGTGTTGATGGCTTTTTGGAGAGCATTGAGGCTTTCCTGTGCTGGATAAATACCACCAGGCCCACTAGAGGGACCTGAAGGCGGTTGACCACCAGGATATGGTTGCTGGGATGGCCAACCTCCAGCACCACCAACATAGCCACCGCCATGAGGACCTGCAGAGCCAGGCGGCCCTGGTGGACCACCAGGGCCATTAGGAGGGAGCCCGCTGGGATTGGGTGCCATTCCTGGAGGCCCCATTGAAGAGGGGACTTGTGGAGGACCCATGGGAGACTGGGAAGGAACTCCTGCTGGAGAAGTGGCTTGAGGTGGAGGAGGCATAGGTGAAGGTGCCTGCTGAGGTGGGCCCATTGGAGAGTGGGCAGCCCCAGGGCTGGGGCTCTGGCCAGACATATTCTCAGAATATTCTTGCCACCTGCAATAAAAAATATTCATCAAAAAATGGTTATAATTATTAAATAACTAACCTGAAGACATACAGAATAATTAATTAGAGTCATTACATATTTGAAAGACACTGAGCTTCTATTAACAATCTAAGCTTCATATTGAGGTGGACAAGTTGTCCTTGTGTCAACAGTGATGATCAATGTGTTCATGTTGGTTGGTGATCAATGTGTTGATGTTGGTTGTGTCATCTGCACAACACACATTTATTTATTAAAAAATAAATAAACAAAAATTTCCCTCTGTTTTTAAAGTTAAACATTCTGGCAACAAAATATTTTCAACAATATAATGAAATACTGAGAATAATTCTCATTTAAAAAAATCACAGGCATCCTAAAGTTAGGAGCAAAGGTACAAAAATTTTGTTTGATCAGCTGGGCCTTCCTCTGTCCCCTCCACTCTTCACTGCACAGGACTCCACTCATGACATCCTCCTCCTTCTCTAAGCCTCCCCACACTCTAAATATTTTTTATATTCTTAATCACAGCCACACTTGCCTCAATCCTGATGGCATATGAGAGACTTTTCAGTTGCTAATGATTGATAATTTCCTGATGTACATTAGGATTTCATCAATATCTTGTGTATTCTAATAGTTCTAATAGTACAGCACATTGTTGCTGCTATATATTTACACAGGATACTTTACTAGAAATAATATGCATTCAAAAATGACTTTTAAAAGACACCACTTTTGAAGAGATCAGTGCCTCCAATGTTACTAATGTAAAATGAATTTCTTTATTTTTTTAATATATAAGCATTTTTTAAAAAACATTTTCTATTGTATACAGATTTTTTTAAATTATTCATTCTATCTATTGATTCATGCATTGCCTCTGATTTTATGCAAAATTTCAGATTGATTGGACAGGAAGAAATTTGTAAATTGTAATGCACATGCATCTGTGACAAACATCGTGCATTGATATACCGTCAACCAGGGCTACTCGGGACAATTTCGAACATTTTTCATTCATAACTTCTTACCATGAAACATTTCATAAACAAATTTAGCCTCATTTCAAAGCTCTTTGCAAGAGCTATCACATGGCTTATAAAAAAAAATCCATTTGCTATTCGTAAGGTGCCAGAAGCAAAAATAGAGTGTCCCGTCGAACGGGGCTAATCGGGACACTTGGAATAAAACTTCATTTTAAAACATTTGAAGCATGCAGAGTGTACTCATCCATTACTAACAGTACGCTGAAGTCCTCCTCTTTCATTGTAGATGATGTAGAGGTAGAATAAATGACATTTTCTGTGATTTTTACTTCTTTTTTCATTTATCGATATGATATTACCATATACATTAATCACCGTATTATTGATGCAATATTACCGTATCCATGAACATGCCATTGAGCATTTACAACTACCTTGTCCACTGCAAGCTTCATATCAGCAGCCTTATAGCATTTTTTCTGTATCTGTAAGCTTACAGGATGGCTTGTAATTTCACACCATTTTAATTGGGTTAAGTGAATTTACTATAAAAAAGGATCGTGAAAAACATACCTGAAACAGAAGGTATGTTTCAGTGACCACCATCATATGTTTTGGAGAAATAAATCATAGTTTAGGTCAATTACTTTTCATTCTAGGCCTATGATGCCTGGTGCACAATTCTATATATGACATTCTATGCACAATTTTATGATGACCAATGATGCCCTAATTTTTCAATAAGTGAAATTTTTTTCACTGAGCGAGGTACATAAATATAATCAATATTCTTTGTTTTTAATCAATTTTTTTCTTAACTGGAGACTTTGCTAACTGAGGTTCTACTGTAAATGCATTTTTGAAGGTGTCCCGAATAGCCCCGGGGGAGGTGTCCCGAGTAGCCCCGCCATGCGAAAATGGCGCCATTTTTTTGGGTTGAGGTATGTAAATTCCACAAATAAAGTTCTCATGCTGACACTTGTCTGCCACTTTTTTCTAAGCAAAATTTTTTAATACGGCAAATATTTTTTTACTACAGACCTCAGCAGAAGCAACTTTTCAAAATTTCATTTTTCACAATTTTTTTCAGAGCTAGTAAATGTAGTATTTTTTAACTTCCTTTATACTACATAGATAGGAAAAATGTTGATGTTTACGCCACTATATTTAGTTTTGCAATATTCCAATTAGTTTTGCTACTAAAACAGTTTTACGCCGTGTCGGAGGACTGTCCCAAGTTACCTCACCCATCCCAAGTAGCCCCGGTTGATGGTATTGATCATAATGCATGATGTCCATGCCGATCATTGCACATTGGCCATGATGATTGTAATCTGCAAGCACCCATGCCAAGTAAGTGTATTGGCTTTATCAATTACAGCCAATCAAGTGTATTGGCTGTATCAATTACATATGTATGTATATATATATATACGGCTTACATATATATATACATACATATGTTAAAGACCAGAGAATTACTTTTATTTATTAGCTTCTTGTTAGTTTCTTCAATAAGTTGTACTAAATTCTTCGTAGGTGTTGGAAGATTGAAAATTAAATTACCTATAGACATTTTTAATATTGAACAATGTTTCAGATGTACAACATTCATTTTCAAGTCAAGACGCATTGAGCAACAAAATTTTGGTTGACATATGTACAAAATCAAGTAAATTGGAATTTGGATACCATTCAAATAATGCTAAAATTTTGTTAATGTGATACTACAGGAAGATTTTACAAGCGCAAAAAACTACTCGGGAAAACAATCTCAAAATTTCGACAAAGCCAGTGGTTTGAAGGTTGATAGCTGGAGTCCTCTCCTTAATGATGAGGGTCTCAGCTATCGCCAGTCGTATAGGATCGGAGCATCACATTTAAAAAAAATTTGACTACTACGGTATCTATTACCAAAACCAAATGGCCAGTGGCTATAAGGCAGATGAGCGGATCATTGAATCTAATCATTCACAACAACATTGTGAACAACTCAAATAACAACAAAATTAAACTGCTGATTTACTATAGAAACATGAAAAATTTGAATCTTGTCATGAACAATAACCCTTGCAAAAGAACAGGACCTCTCCAAGAGACCAATGTAGTTTATGAATTTTCTTGCAATAAAGAAGGTTGTAGACTTCTTCCCAATATGGACTACATTGGGCTCACAACCACAACTCTAAGCCGACATCTCACCTGCCACCTTCAGTCCGGAGGACCAAGAAATCACTTGAAGGAGGCCCACAAGCACAATGAGACCATCACTTGCCCGATACTGGAAGAATGCACCAGTATTGTTATGCGATGCCCCAATCCTAGACAGCTGGAAATTGCTGAGGCCCTCATCATTAAGGAGAGGACTCCAGCTATCAACCTTCACACCACCAGCTTTGTCAGAACTTTGAGATTGTTTTCCAAGTAGTTTTTTTGCACTTGTAAAATCTTCCTGTAGCATCACATTAACAAAATTTTAGCATTATTTGAATGGTATCCAATTTACTTGATTTTGTACATATGTCAACCCAAATTTTGTTACTCGATGCATCTTTAACTTGAAAATGAATGTTGTACATTTGAAACGTCGTTCAATATTAAAAATATCTATTGGTAATTTAATTTCCAATCTTCCAACACCAACAAAGAATTTAATACAACTTTTTGAAAAAACTAATAAGAAGCTAATAAATAAAACTAATTCTCTGGTCTTTAACAAAACTTGCATAAGAGAAGAAATTCTGCCAGCCTACACTAATATATACATATGTGGCAATCATCCAGCATTAGCCATGTTGATTGTAATGTGCGTATGTTGTGCCAATCAATTTGCATTGTCCATATTGACCATGAACTGTAATCTATGGAGAAGCATAATTGGCAACCGCTCTCCACCTCAATCATACTTGAGCGTCTTTGGGCAATTAAATTGGCCTCCTAGACCTATGTTGTTAGGGACTGAGCTGATTATACGTTTTTTTTTTTCATTTCTTTGTTAGAGTAAGTTTGACGTGACCTCGACTGAAGTTTGTAAGCAGGGTTAGTATTGTGAATGCCGTGGATGCGTAAGGAGTCTCAGTCTCAGTTCCGTTTTCCAAGAAGGTTTAGTTATAGTGCCATACGGATTCAGTGCTTATCCATGATTTTAGTTGTAATAAAGACACAAAAGAAACTGTTTTATCACTGGCTACGAAAGAACCTATTCGATCACAAGGCCGAACAATGCAGGGATGAAGATGGCTTTATTCATTTTGTTGAGTGCGTCCCTAGCATAAAATGGTGCCGTGAGATCCATTATGTTGGGGAATAATTAATAAATAAATAAACACTCTCTGACCCCGAACACTTGGCCAATGATCGTAAATAAAAAGGATGAATAAGAACTGATAAATAAAGAACCATAATAATAAGAGAAACACAAATACAAGAAAACAATTTACAAAACTATGAACCGCGCGTCTTTCTATCCCTTGCCTTAATCATGTCCTAGGTTTGGAGCCCGCTGAAAAAAACACAAATAAATACAAATTAAGGACTTGGAATTAACGGAACTCTAACAAATGAATATAACACAAATAAAAACTAATATAAATAATAATATTAAATATAACCAAATAATCCACCACTATGTCAACACAAAGATCAACACGATAAATAATGCAAGTACTAACCTCTGTGGTGGATCTCATAGCAATGACAAGTTACAGGGCGGGTCTACACGAGGTCACGTAATAGTAACTCAAAAACAAGATGACCAACACGTAACCTAACTATCGATAAAATTATTATATTTACAGGCGGTCCCTAACATCACCCCCCACCAAGTGCAAAAATTCTTTTATTGCACTTAACAATCCTATAATACGTGAACATGTAAGGGCGGTGAAGGTTGCAGCATGAATTAGGCTAATCTAATGCGAAACAGGTTAAGATTTCTTTTCTGTACAACTTTATTACACATAAATATACACGCTAACTGGCTTAGAATTCTCACAGGATTTCTATGTACATTTATTTTACAACGAGACA